GCCTCACCGCTGAGGCGGTCCTCTTCCCCCTGGACTGCCTCAAGACGCGGATCCAGAGCCAGCAGAGGCGCGCGGGGCCTGCGGCTGCACGGTCGCCACCGCGCCGGGAAGGCGGAGCGGAGGAGGAGGAGGAGGAGGAGGAGGAGGAGGAGGAGGAGGCTGAGGAGGAGGAGGAGGAGGAGGAGCAGGCGAGGCGGCAGGGACCCAGATTTTCGACGACGTGATTTTGTTCAATCACGGTGTTTCTCCTCAGTTTCGGCCTCCACGGGGGGCTCTTTCCAGCCCAGGGATCCGAAAAACTAATAACAGGGAGCCGCGAGGAGCAAGGAGAGTTTACGAAGGTTGTCGTCGTTGTCGTCCCCCTCCACCTCCTTGTCCTCCTCCTCCTCCTCCTTCCCCTCCTCCTCCTTCTTCCAGAAAATGAGGTTGTAGGATGAGGAGAAAAGGAGGAGGAGGAGGAAGAAGAAAAGGACAAGAGTAAAGTCAATATGCATCAGCGATGTTGCGCTACACCCTCCCGTCCCAAAACCGTTTTCTCGGAAGCCCTCACAAGCGTTATTGTTTACTACACCAAGCGCCCTCTTGAGAGACGATCGCTCTCCATGCGCCTGCCCTTCAGACGAGAGCTACGTGTTGAAAAATAATGTCCCTGCATGTTTCAAGCCATGCGGATAAGGGAAGGGTGAGGCCACTGAGGCCATGGACGCGTCCAGCGAGGCCCCCGTTTTGACATTGAGCTGGCCTGCATCCGTATCAGATTGCTGCACAACGTTACAACGAGGGCCCGTCATTGAAAAGGGACGGGCCTCCGACTAGGCTGGCACCGTCGGAGGACATCTCAAGCGCGAGCCCGACCTGGAAAGCTGCTCGCCCTCCGTCCTTGTAACCGCTGGCAGACTTTAAGACGAGTGTGCGTGTCGCTGAGGCGAGGCCAACATTTGGGAAACCGCCCGTCCACCATCCTTGCAGCTGTAAGGTGAGATTCAGGCGGACATGGGCGGTGCTCACGCGAGAGCCGCATTTGGCAAACGGCCCGTCCTCCATCCTTGGATCTGCTGGGCGCGATCCGGACGGATGCGCGAGGCGCGAAGGCGAGAGCCGCATTTTGAAAACCGCCCGCTCTCCATCCAGATAGCAAGTGGAAGCGGCGAAGACGACTGTCAGCGGCGCTACGGCGAGAGCAAAATTCCAGAACAGCGATCCGCCTCCATGACTGCAGGCGACGGAAACGTGTAAGACAGATGCGCGCGGGTCGGGCGAGGGCCGCATTTTGAAAACCGTCCACCCTCCATCCCGGTTTACGCTGGAAGCATTTATGGCGACTGCGCGCGGCGCTACAGCTAGGCGCCACAGTTTCACTCGCCCTTCACATTGCAGCTGTTAGGGATTTCAAGGTTTAGAGTGATAAAGTATGATAAAGTATCATGCGGAACGCCTGCACTGGCCTACCGACACGCCTGGTGATGCGACGAGGGAAAGGGATGGTGGAGGAGGAGGGTGCAGGTAGAAAAATTAGCCTGGCGAAGGACCCAACCATATGGAGATGTGAGTACCGCAATGATGGGTATCGCATTCGGTGGAGCTCCCTATGGGGCCACGAAGCGCTGCACTGGGTGGGGGAGACGCATGCGAAGTTTGCAACTGTGGCCTTCGGTGGAGCTCCCTATGGGCCACGAAACGCTGCACTGGGTGGGGGAGACGCATGCGGACTTTGCCACTGGGGCCTTCGGTGGAGGTCCCTATGGGGCCACGAAACGTTGTGCTGGGTGGGGGAGACGCATGCGGACTTTGCCACTAGGGCCTTCGGTGGAGCTCCCTATGGGCCACGTAACGTTGTGCTGGGTGGAGAGAACGCATGCGGACTTGGCCACTGGGGCCTTCGGTGGAGCTCTCTATGGGGCCACGAATCGGTGGGGCTCCCTATGGAGCCACGAGACATTGCACCGGGCGTGCGGGACGCATGCGGGCGGTCCCACTGGGACCTTCGGTGAGGCTCCCTATGGGACCACGAAGCGCTGTACTGGGTGTGCAGGACGCATGCGGGCGGTCCCACTGGGACCTTCGGTGGAGCTCCCTATGAGGCCACGAAGCACTGTACTGGGTGGGGGCGACGCATGCGGACGATCCCACTGGGACCTGCGGTGGGGCTGGGCCACGAAACGCTGTATTGGGTGTGCGGGACGCATGCGGGCGGTCCGACTGGGACCTTCGGTGGGGCTCACTAAGGGGCCACGAAAGGCTGTACTGAGTGTGCGGGGTGCATGCGGGCGGTCCCACTGGGGCCGTCGGTGGAGCTGCCTATTGGGCCACGAAGCGCTGTACTCGGTGGTGCGCGACGCATGCGGGCGGTCTGATTGGGGCCGTCGGTGGAGCTCCCTATGGGCACACGAATCGCCGCACTGGGTGGTGCGTGACGCATGCGGGCGGTCCCACTGGTACCTTCGGTGGAGCTCCCTATAGGGCCACGAAACTCTGTACTGGGTGGTGCGTGACGCATGCGGGCGGTTGCACTGGGCTCGTCGGCGGAGCTCCCTATTGGGCCACGAAGCGCTGTATTGGGTGGTGCGTGACGCATGCGGGCGGTGCCACTGGGGCCGTCGGTGGAGCTCCCCATGGGGCCACGAAGCGCTGTACTGGGTGGTGCGTGACGCATGCGGGCGGTCCCACTGGGACCTTTGGTGGAGCTCCCTATGGGGCCACGAAGCGCTGTTCTGGGTGGTGCGTGACGCATGCGGGCGGTGCCACTGGGGCCGTCGGTGGAGCTCCCCATGGGGCCACGAAGCGCTGTTCTGGGTGGTGCGTGACGCATGCGGGCGGTCCGATTTGGGCCTTCGGTGGAGCTCCCTATGGGGCCACGAAGCGCTGTACTGGGTGGTGCGTGACGCATGCAGGCGGTCCGATTTGGGCCTTCGGTGGAGCTCCCTATGGGGCCACGAAGCGCTGTACTGGGTGGTGCGGGACGCAGGCGGTCTGATTGGGGCCGTCGGTGGAGCTCCCCATGGGGCCACGAAACGTGTGAGGGGTGCGCTGAAACGGGTGATCATGATGATGAAGCGCTGGGAGGAGGGAAGGGGGGGAGGAGGAGAGGAGTGACGCGGGGCGCTGTCTCTTCAAAACGAGGACCCAACACCACGGGTTGGGAACAACTGAGAGAACGGGGAACAAGTGCGTCGAGCGCGCATTTCTCCCAGCAGCACTCTCGCGCACCCTTCCTTCCCCACCGTTCCGCTTGTGGAGACGACCGAATTGTGCGGTGGATGGCGTTGCGCTTTTTGGGCTGTGGACGATCCGGTCATATTTCATGTCATGACACTTCGGCAGCATCATCTGACCCCAATCGATGCCAATCAATTCGATACTACGCATGCACATGGGAAGGGCAAGAGGACACACATCAAATGAGATGAAGATTGATACACTTGTCGGAAAACAATGAGCAGAGATGACCGCGCTTCTCGACGGCGATTCGACGACGACGACGACGACGACGACGACGACGACGACGACGACGACGACGACGATACGACGACGGCGATACGACGACGGCGGCCGCGACGACGACCGCGACGACGACGACGACGTCGACGTCGGCGACGGCGCTCCGTGGCGGCTTGGCCCGGCAGGCTGGCCAGCCTCTGCGGCGTCAGGGGCCTCTACCGGGGCTGCGGGACGGCCATGTGCGGCTCGGCGCCGCTCCCGCCGCCCGCGGCGCTCGCCGTGGTCGTGGCCGCCGCCGCCGCCGTCGCTGGCGCGGTCCTCGTCCCCGTCATGGTCGCCGCCGTCCCCGCCCTTGCCAGGGTCGCTGTCACCGCCGTCGTGGCGGCTGTCGCTGCCATCGTCGTTTCCGTCCTTGTCGCGTCGTAACGCCGTCGTCGTCGTCGTCGTCGTCGTCGTCGTCGTCGTCGTCGTCGTCGTCGTCGTCGTAGTCGTAGTCGTAGTCGTAGTCGTAGTCGTAGTCGTAGTCGTAGTCGTAGTCGATGTCGTCGTCGCCGCCGCCGCCGCCGTCGTTGTTGGCGTGGTTGTCGTCCTCGTCATGGTCGTCGCCGTCCCCGCCCTTGCCCCGAAAACGAAAAACCAGCATAAACATAAACTGTCGACGCTCCGCGTGGATCTCTTGGATCTGCGCTGGGCCTCCCTGTCGGCGCCTCCGGCGCCGCCCTTAGCGCGGTCCGCGCGCCTGGGAGGAGAGGGTCTAGCGCAGATCCAAGAAATCCGTGCGTAACGCCGAAAGTTTATGGTTATGCCTTTTTTGGTTCCGCTATCGTCACCGTCGCTGTCACAGCCGTCGCGGCGGCTGTCGTTGCCATGCCATGGTCGTTGTTGTCCTCGTCAAGATCGTTGCCATCGACGTCCTCGGGCTTGTGGTGATCGTCGTCGCGGGCGCGCATAATGGGGGAGAGGGGGAGGACGGGAGGGGGGGATGAGGAGAAGGGGGCGGGGGGAATAGGATGAGCGAGGAAGAGAGGAACGAGAGGGGTGCGGACGAGGAGGACGGGGAAACAAAAGGCGGGTAAGGGAGGAAGAGGGGAAAGGAGCAAGCTTGTGCGCTCGCTCAATATCTGACACCCTACCCCTCCCATCCACCCTTCCCAATTCGTCGAATTATGTTATATCCATTGTCTGGGATGTCCTAGATTTCCCGATGTGCAAACAAACAGGGGAGGCTTTGTAGATGGCCCCTTTGTGTGTCGGAGGAGGAGGATGTGGTTGATGAGCAGGAGGAAAAGCACGAGTGCCAGGACGGAGGAGGAGGAGGGGGAGGAGGAAGAGGCGGCGGAGGAGGAGGAGGAGGAGGAGGAGGAGGAGGAAGAGGATCGGCAGGCACAGGAGCAGGACCGCGCTGCGCCTGGCCTCAAGTGGCGTGCGGCGCTGATGCGCATCGTGCTGTTTTCGGACGGCTTGCGCTGGGCTGCTGCCCAACCGCCAGGGGGCAGGGAGTACTCTACGGCAGGGTGAGCGGCGCTGCTTAAATCTTTTTGTTTTTGGACAGGTGGATGGAA